AGTTTTTATGACAACATAATGTTTTACAGAAATAGCATTAATTTGTTTAAACTGTATAAATAAAAATTATATTTAAGAGAGAATACAATCCTTTAAAATTGTTTAGAACTTAAATCCCCTGATGCAGAAGTGATTGACTGTCTGAATGAGGCTATCCCAAGACCGTTTCTGTATTTTCCTTATGTGCTTCTCACACCACCTAAGCAAACACTACACACTACACATCAGACCACAGGTCTCCCTTGAGCCCTTCAGCGTGCTCCACACCAAGTTCCCAGGAAGGCATTTGATTCCTTCTCATCTTAATCATCTACCACAGAAGAATCTCAGTTTTGCTCCCTAAAATCAAACACTGAATTCTTCAATCACTTAGAAAAACCAGTCTTTAGGTTTTACATTCTTCTCTTTAGAAAGGTGGAGAGTAGAAGGAGGGCTCAGTGTTACAGGTCTAGCCTCGGATGTAGGGGCTTTGGACTTATCCTCAATGATGTAAAGAAGTGTGTGTGGCAGGGGAGGAGCTCTTTTATTTACAACAATGAAGTCTGGCACTAGGAGCATTATCTGAGTTCTCAACATTGATCCAACACTAACTCAGCTTGAAGAGGAATTTCTGCTGACCAAATCCTACAAATGTTTCCCTTGTTATTTCTTATTTCTTCTATACTCTCTATGAACACAGTATATTCTTCCTAAGTAATCACACACTCTAATCAGTGTAATGACAGGCAACATTTTTATCTTTTCCTTTGAACGTCTCTAGAATATCCAAAACAAGTAATTTTTAAATAATTTATTTTTATTAACGTTTTTATTGACTATATTTTGACCATATTCTTTTCTTCTCCTCCAACATCCCTCAGATTCTCACCACTTCCCTACCACCCAATTTCAATCCTTGCTTTTAAATCCCAGTTCATCCTCTTGTTTTAAAGACCCAGTAACACCATCACATACCATTTCCTTTTACAATGTCTCATAGTTTTGTTTTTAAATGCTACTCATACAGCTCCAACTCACCTTTATTAATGATTGCACACAGAAAGAATTTGCTATTATTTCCTCTCTTTGTTAACCAATATTCTTCTAGTTTTTCTTGTGGCCCCCAAATAACGATTGTACTAAATATCCATAGATAGATAGATAGATAGATAGATAGATAGATAGATAGATAGATAGATGATAGATAGGTAGGTAGATAGATAACAAATAAGTATTGTACTAAATATCGATAGATAGATAGATAGATAGATAATAGATAGATAGATAGATAGATAGATAGATAGATAGATGATAGATAATAAATATATAGACAGACAGATTATCTGTGTGTAGATATTATGTATATGTATATATAATCTGAAGGTATAGACAATATGTCTAAACTTGAAAGGATCCAATACTCCTACCGGATACTTACTATGTCATTCCACGGCCAGTGCATACAAACAGATCCTTTGACCAAGGAAAACATACAGCAGTTCACTGCCATTTTTGGAATTAAAAGAAAATGAGGATTTCCCTAAACCTTAACCATTAGTTAGAATAAAATAATAGCATTTTTTACACTGGAATACTTGAGGGAATCAAATGAGAATTTGTTTGTATTTAAACTTCGTCATGCACATTGTATGTATCCATAGGTAAATGCATAGCCAAGACTTGTTTGAATTTTTCTCCTGTGAATTTCATTCTTACCTTCTACTTGGTTTTCTAATCTTGTCTGTTCTTTTTCTTATCAGCATTAAAAAAATGTTACATTAGCTCTATCGACATTTTGTTACACTATGACATATATATTTTCTACTTTTAATTAAATAAATTTTACTTTCATTTTGTGTATGAATGGTTTGCATGCCTGCACCATGTGCACCATGTGTCTAGTACCTGCAGACATCAGAAAGGGCATCAGAACTAGAACAGCAGAGACCAAGGTGAGCTGCCGTATGGGCGCTGAGAACAGAACCCAGGTCCTCTGCGAGGACAGCCAGTGCTCTCACCACTGAGCCATCTCTTAGCTCCCTTTTCTACCTTTCAATGCATAATTTCCTTTACTATTGTTACTCCTCCACTGCCTCACATACCGCACATTCCCTAATAATTTGCCTTTTCTGCCTAAAAGTCCTCATCACCACTGCCTGACATCAACTATTTATCTCCCAATTTTTTTCAAATATGCTTACTTTTCATGTTTATGGCTATAGTATTTCCTTGGACATTTTTTCCCTATATATTATAAAGCAAGCACTTTAAATTTATTTGAGATGTTCACACTGGCATCATTTAACCGCACCTCTGTATTAAATTGAATACTAACTGGAAAGGAATTGGACCCTGACTCGCATCTGAATCTGCTATAAGCCCTTCATTATGTCCTACAAGATAAGTCTTGCTATTTCCATCCACTTGATACTGTTGTTGTTAGTATGCTTGGGAAGCCGATTCTATCCTTCTTTGAATCTTCACATATTCATATATCCATAAGTTCTTAACAATAATGTTTGTCTACAAAACAACCAGACAGATGATACTGGCTACAGATGCCTAAACACGGGCAGGGTATGTCATTCAGTAGAGTGCCTGACTGGTCAACAAGAAACCCTGGATTGAATCCCCAGAATCTCATAAGCCAAGAATGTTCATACATGCCTGTAGTTCTAGCTCTTGTAAAGTAGAGGCAGGAGAATTAGAAATTAAAAGTCAATTTCTTTAGATACATAATGATTTAAGCCTAGACTGGGTTATATGAGACTACATCAAAATGACAACGAAACAATCGTCTAACTTTATGTGTCCCTTTGGGATATGGTAATGATATTGATGACCTGTTGATGTGGGAGTGTCATATATCAATCTGTTGATTTCATTGGTTAAGTAATAAACACACTGCTTGGCCACATAGCTTAAAACATAGGTGGGAGGAGTAAACAGAATAGGATGCTGGGAGAAAGAGGAAGTGAGCTCAGACTTGACAGCTCTGCTCTCTGGAGCAGAGATGCCAGGCTCCGCTCTCCCAGGCAGCTCCGACCCAGGATGGACGTAGGCTAAAATCTTCCCGGTAAGTGCACCTTGCGGTGCTTACAAACAATTATTAGAAATGGGCTAGTCCAGGTGCGAGAACACACATACAGTTTGTGTGTTGTTATTTTGGGGCATAAGCTAGCAGGCGGCAGGGGTGCTAGGGAACCAGCCCCACCGCTCCAATTTCAACAACCTGTGTTTCATGTCTTTTCTCTCATTGTAAACTACACTACCAAATCCCGTAATAAAACACTGTTTTTGTCATTAGACAAGTCATTCAATTTTCTTGTTAAATTTTGATCTCCCAATTTATATTTTGTCAGTGAACTAAATCAGTGTCTCAAAAAGACTTTCAGATCAAATCCAAAGAAGGCACCAGGCTGCCTCAACTGTCCCAGGTTCTGGGCTGGCCCAAAGCCCTACTGGGCTCTCATATCCACTCTTCCTCAGGATGATCACAAAACTCACGAGTGGGATTTTCACCAGCAAACCCATGGAGCAGCACAGTCCTAGTTAACATTTCCTGCTCTAGACGATCAAATCGATCTACTCAGCTTTCCCTGTAGACCTATTTAGCTGCACACTTTCTGAAGCGGGGCTGGGACTGGGGAGCACTCCTGACAGCGTCATTGATCTTCCCTGTCAATGGCATCTCCTTTAGCTTTACTGATGGACTGATAAGTAGGTGGCTTCCTACACTGATCTAATCAGCCCACTTATTAAACATGATGGGCTTCCTCTGGAACTCTTCACTTGCATACAGAGCAGTGCCTACTCTTGATCGCCCCACCTTTGGGTTGTGCTCCTCCACAATCACAGTGTCCCTGTCTATGTTCCTTGTGCCACTTTTACACAAATGCATTTGCGAACCCAGCAGCATGGAATAAAATGGCTCAAACCCAACAGAGAGCAGAATGAGGCCCACGAAGACTGGGGAGTGAAGGAGCAGAGAGGTGCAATGCTGGGCAACAAAGGATAATTGAAGGAAAGAATCTGTCGAATGTTCTACAACATGGCAGGATAACTAACTAAAGTCTGTAAGAATTCAAAATAACTGTAAGAAAATAGCCTAAATTCATTTCACAGGTAGAAATGCCTATCGCCCAATCTATAGACTCTGCAGGACATGTTTCAAGTTATAAACTGCATTCTTTAAATAAATCCAAAAATTACATGTAAATTACATTTTTTATATTGATAATCCTGTTTTATTCTCTAGAATATATGCAGAAGAAAATACAAGTCTCCATCCAGTTTTCTGTAATCACCTTTGATTTACAAGAAACATAGCATTTGTAGAACAGTTTCTTTTTAAATCTCAGACATAAATTTTGATTATTTATCCATTTTTATAGCGATGACATATCTGAGAAGTCAATCAGGTTTTGAAGACTTTGATAGGGAAAGTTGTAGAATTTTTCCTGTATTGTAATTAACATGTTTTATATGATGAATTTTATTGATTTCCTTAAACTATCAAGTGTTTATGTTTTCGTACAATCTTTTAAAGTATCAGTGCAATCTTGTTCCATTCCCCCCCCAATGAAGTCATTAAAAAAAAAAAAAACACCAGGAAAGACATTTTCCCTTCACTCACTGCAATATTCAGCTATTATCAACATATTCTCAATTTTTAAGTTTCCAGATATTTGTTTACAGGTTAGACAATATTTCAGTACACCAAGTATTTGGCCTGAAATGCCCAATAACAACAAATGTCAATTTAATCAATATACCTTCCAAAAGTTTATCTCCATGAAAGTGTTCTCCTCTTTATGAAATATGTTGGATTATGATTTTAAGAAAAGCTGCCTGAATCGCAAGTAACAGCATGAAGTTAAAAACAATTGTAACCATATTTTAATATTGTTTACATAATAAATACTAACATATTATGTTCAAACAATGTAACCATGGATGTCCATCCAAAGAAACAATTTTTACATGCCCCCATGAACGAGACACAAATAGAATGCTTCTACCTGTTCTTTGACGGAGGCAAGGATGGCAGAAGTGGTCTCTGTCTCAGAGCCGTCCCCATTGGAGGTGTTCAAGCCTGGGCTCAAGGAGCTGGTCTTCTCTGAGGCTGAAGGAGGCTGGTCTGGGACAGGCATAGCTCCTGAAACAAAACAGGACAAGGTCAGACCAGCCACACATCATTGTAAACAAACACAACTGCAGGGAATTCAGTTGGGGGAATAAAAGGCACAAGCTGTCCCAACAAGTGTGGTATAATTCTATAACAAGGAAAAGTGAAGTCAAACAAAATGTCACTCTGTGTCGACCCCAACCAAGTCTGAGATAGCAAAGGCATGCCTTTGTTCTCTCTTATTCTGTATGTGGGACAATAAATTATGATAAGGAAGAAGCAAGATAATAAGAATAAAAAAAAAAAGGGCCGGGCGGTGGTGGCGCACGCCTTTAATCCCAGCACTCGGGAGACAGAGGCAGGCGGATCTCTGGGAGTTCGAGACCAGCCTGGTCTACAAGAGCTAGTTCCAGGACAGGCTCCAAAACCACAGAGAAACCCTGTCCAAAAAATAAAAAAATAAAAGAATAAAAAAAGGTAAAAAAAATTGAGTCTAAAAGTCTAACTACAGATTGACATCTGTCTTAAACAAATGCACTTCTCTTTTCTACTGGTATGTTTTCAAGATAATCTATTACACATCCCCCTTATAGGAAAACACACAATGTAAATGACCAACTATTATCAATAACTAAAGGGATATCCACCCCCCCAAAAAAAAGTTTGGTTAGTACTGTGAAATACAGAAAACAGCTGGTTCATTCTGCACACAGTTAAATTCATACCCTGACAGAGAGAAGACTCAACCTCTTTAAAACCAGAAAGCCCTCCCCTTTTTATATCCATTTACATAGTCTAAGTTTAAGAAAGAAATCAGAAACTCAACTCACATTAATATCAATACAAAATGGACATGCTGGTACAGGTAAGATTCCCCAAAGTTATTTTTGTTCTATTGCACTGCTCAAACTCACACACAGATTCCAATTTTAATGGCATGAGGTGGTACACCTTTGGTAATTGATTAGTCTATTTGGTATTAATTAGGCTATGAGCCTGCTGGTGTTATGATAAAATGGCCCAAATGGTACCCCTCCTTCTCCCACCATATGAAAACATAGGGAAAAGTATCATCTATGAAGCAGAACGTAGGACCTCACCAGACATTGACTCTGCTGTTCCTTGAACTTGGACTATTTGACTTTCTATAACTATGAAAAATGATGATGATGATGATGATGATGATGGTGGTGGTGGTAGTGGTAGAGTAGTGATGATTACGGTGATGATATGTGTGTGTGTGTGTGTGTGTGTGTGTGTGTGTATGTATTTTAGAGTGCTGAGGATGGAACCCAGGGTGTTAAACACAGCAGGCAAGCACTCTGTCACTGGCATGATGAATTAATCCTAAATGGATTAAAACAAAAATTGCTCTGTCAGGTGCATATCTCCTCTAACAACGTTCATTAACAAAGAAAGCATTAAAAACTAAGATAAACTTTAATCACAACATTCTAATAAAAGGCTAAGGATAGATAAAATGTATTCTCACAACAACACAACAGTAGGGACCAGTGCAATTCACATATCCAAAAGTACTTTCTATGACCCCATTCAGAGCATCCTAGCTTTGATACTGAGGTAGAATTTCTACAGATGCTCTTATTCGATGTTATGTGTTATAGTTGTTTAATATTATTGGGCTATAAAAACCTAAGAAAGCCCACTTAAGCCCTATTTTACCCAAAATATATAATAAAAATGTGTCATTCAAACTTCTCACTGCACCTTTCAGCCAACCAGCTCTTGAAGTAAGCTACTTAGAATAGCACCTGGGGGATCAGGCAAGCATTGGAAAATAAGCCCAGGAAAACAGAACCCATGAACATGTTTAGGAAAACAAAATTTGAATATACAATTATGATCAGCACAAATATGACTAGGAGAGATGCAGTTACAGCTGACAAGTTCAAGATGTCTATTCGAAAGAATGAAAACTAAGAGAATGGATGACTGTGGTGTGTTGCTGGGAAGATCACCTGAAACGTATCTATGCATTTACATCACTTTTCCAGGTGCTCTCCTTTTCTGACCAAGTCTCTTGATTCTGCAGGATGTAGACATTTAGGTCAACAAATGCACCCAGGTAAAGAAATGAGACCTACAGCCTTGAAATTGGGAGATGTTTCAGAAAGGAAGGAGCTAGGGACCCAGAGGAGCAAGAAAGAAAATGTCACTTTGTCGCATCTGAGAGAACCACCTCTGGGGTCGACACTGGACCCTCCACCATTGCCCATGCAGGCGGTTTTCACAGGAATACACAGAAGCAGCTAACTCTGAGAACGTTGAAGTCTTGCATAGTTTAAATTATTATTATAAATTTTATGTTCTCTAAATTTTATCTGATCCATGTTAATTTGGGTTCCAGGCTAGGGTTATCATAAGTTTCTTCTGATAAAGAAATTGTCTAAGGTCTCAAAGTTACTACGAAGCCAGAACTCAGGTTTTCTGTCTTTCCATTCCTCCTTTAGTACCTTTTGATATGTCTATTTCCAACAACCTGTAATACATCAGAAATGCTAGTCTAACAACAAAGTTTTATAGAATGTATTTCTTAAAACTATAGCAGCAACCTATCTAAATAAAATAATACGTTTAATAGACATTGAACTGAGGCTTACCCTTTGACATTTGATCCAAATAAGATCATAATTAAGAGATACACAGTGCTGTTTATCCAACCCCTCTTTCCCATCATTCTTCTGAAGCTGGAGCAGGAACCAAAGTGAAATATTCAAGGTTTATCCCACCATGCAGAGCATGTGTTATCTGAGGCAACTTTTATGCCTGAATGAATATGACTCACAGTAACTTTTGTAGGACAGTTGTAACTTGACCACTGGTCACTACTATGCCCGAGGAGCAAAGACAGTCAGCACTTCCTCCCAAACTTGTTATCTTATGCTATACAAAGAAGAGACAACAGAAATGTGGAGATGACCTGCCAGAACTAAGTCCCAAACTGCCTCGGCAGGAGCATAAAAAGCTCTAAACCTCGAAAGAAAGAAACAAAGGAAGGGAGGGAGGGAGGAACACTTAAGTAAATCTACCATCCCAGATACAGAAATGTGTTTACTTTAGAGAAGATCTGACAACCTGATTTTTATATAATGTATTCTCTATAATGAATAGGGAATTAATATACAGGTTTTATTGTTCAGCAATATGTCCTGAATAGCTTCTTGTCCTGTATGATTTAATTGTGTAATAAATATTCAATGTCTGATAAACTTACATTTTCAAAATGGACTTACCTAATGCTTATGTGTAATATCTGTCTCATTTTGGAATTTATCATATTTTTTCAATAAACAAATTTCTAGAGGTAAAAATATAGGAATGAATGCTGCACTATTTATTTCCAAGAGTCCAATAGCATGTAGCTCTGAGCTGTAGCTACTTATATTGGAAAATAAAAGGTCTTACTAGTGACACACACCAAGTTTTATGGATGTCTCTGATAAACACCCCGTATTCAAGTCTTGGATGCAATCCCAGTTCACATCCTAAATGGGAGAATTTGTGAGTTGTTACATTTGGACATAATCTGAAGAAAGAATGTTCAGGGAGGGAGGGAGGCAAGTCTAGGTGAGTTCAGAGCTATTTTCTCAGTGACTGGCTTTGCCGTGATATCCAGACTGGGTAGAAAAGACTCTGGCATGAAGGACATTGTGTACAAACCTTCAATCAAAAACTGTCCTGCCCATTTTAATGTTAGTCAGTCCTCCAAGTGTATAGAAAAATACCTGAAATAATTAACTTACATAAAAATTTATTTAGCTCACAATTCTTGATGTTTGAGCCCAAGGTAAGTGAACCAATGATTTTAAATCTCTGGTTCAAGAGTCATAGTCAAAGCATGGCAGAGCGAAGTGCTCACTGTTGTGGGATCATCTTTCTGTACACTGTAAAGGTGTGTCTCTGCCTCTGATTGGTTTAATAGAGAGCTGGATGGCCAATAGCTAGGCAAGAGAGAACAGATAGGACTTCTAGGGAGAGAGAGGAATTGGACTCTGAAGAAGTCATACACAGGATACAGAGGAGAGGTAACTGAGCCACACGGCAGAATGCAGATTAGTAGAAACAGGTTAATTTGAGTTATAAGAGCTAGTTGAGATAAAGCCTAAGCTAAGGTTAAGCTTCATAATTAATAAGTCTCCTTGTTATTTTTTTTTTTTTTTTTGCAGGCTGGTGATCCCACAAAGGAAAGTCCAGCTACAGCTCACCTCACAAGCTTCGACGCAATGAGAAGAGGAAGAGGGCGCATCATATAGCCTGCATCAATAACCCACTTACTTCCCATGAGACACCACCTCCTAAACGTTCCACCACATCACATGAGGGCCACCATGGGGAGCAAAACTTTCACGCTTGAACCTTTAGGAAATGCTCAGGATTCAACATACAGTATTAGGTGGCCTTCCTTATAGCAGATCTTCAAACCCACATCAACCCTTTAGGGTTTATGTTTGGTGCAAATCCTACGCAAGTGAATGCTCAGCCAGAAACCACATTTTCTTTTTAACCAGAAGAACATACAGATGTTTCTAAACTCTGTGTGTCAAGTCTGCATATTTCCCGTATTTTACTCTTCTCCGAATAAGTGTATTTCACCTTCTACTTCATTATCTATACGCCTTCTGACATTCTCATCTCTACCTTCAACCCTATAAAAGCTTATAAGACTCCCCTAGACTTCTCCTCGTACCCAACTAGAATTCCCTGGGCGGCTGCTGTTTAGAACCAGCTCCTCACGACAACACTCCCTGGAAGTATGCTCTAAAACACAAGCACACTTTCTCATAACACACTGTTTGCTTTGCTGCCATCGCTTAGAAATGCTTTCATAATGTATCACTCATACCAAATTAATTTTAAGTAATGAAATACTTCAAGAATTTCCATTTAAATACATATGGACACGAGCTGCTTAATCATTAAAAGTTTAGTATGTTTCACTTTTTGATTTTATATTTTTTTACCTCAAATTGCAATATTTCAAAGAGTTCAAGAATAAGCGTCGGCATTTT